GGGTTAGGTTCCCAGCACCCATATGACAACTCTAATTCCAGGGGATTTATGACATCTTATGGTTTCCATAGGTGCCAGCCACATGTGTGCTATACATACATATATGCAGGCAAAACTCATACGCATAAAATTTAAAAAAAAAAATTTTTTTTTTGGTTTTTCGAGACAGGGTTTCTCTATGTAGCCCTGGCTGTCCTGGAACTCACTCTGTAGACCAGGCTGGCCTCGAACTCAGAAATCCGCCTGCCTCTGTCTCCCAAGTGCTGAGATTAAAGGCATGCACCACCGCTGCCCGGCTTAAAAAAAATCTTTTAAAAAAAATTTTTAAAAATCATCATAGATATCTTTTACAATTTATTTGTTATTTGTGTGTGTGTGTGCACATGTGTGGAGCATGTATAATGCATGGGTCCTGGGGATCATGTGTATGTGTGTACATGTGTGCCAGAGCATGTACTAGACATGGGTTCTGGGGATCAAACTCAGATCCTCCAAATCTCCGGCTCTCAAAGAAATCATGCCTTTTTTTGTTTTGTTTCTTTGTTTTTGAGCTAGGGTCTCACTATGAGCCATGGCTGGCCTGGAACTCTCTACCTAGATGAAGCTGACTTCCAGCCTACAAGACATCTGCCTGCCTCTGCTTCTCAAGTTTGGCAAGAAGCAAGTATCTTTTGGCACAGAGCCATCTCACTGACCCTCAGTCCTGTTCTTAAGCTCTGTGGTGGTGACTGCCTGTGCAGAAGTACTCTGATATACATTCCTGTATCATATGTTTTTATGTAACTACCAAATATCTCTTTAGAAGATTCCAACCTTGTTCACTGATTCCCTGACCCTTTGAGAATCTGATTTTGAAGTATCTAATCCATTCACATTGTTCTCTGGAAATTGACATGTGTGGGAGAAAATTATGCTTCTGCTCTGTGGGTGGGCGTGCCCCTTCTGCCGGTTCTGCCCACCCTAATGGATACTCAAAACAGCTGCTTACTGTGTTCTGCTTTCCAGCTGTGTAGGCTGTGCACTATTCAACGCTAGGGGGCGCCATGACACCAACTATGGTGCTCAAGTTTGGGGGTTGTCCTCTTCTAAGTCTCTTTCTGGCAGGAAATATCTAGTTTCTCTCTTAAAGAATTTTTTTTTTTGGGGGGGGTTTCGAGACAGGGTTTCTCTGTATAGCCCTGGCTGTCCTGGAACTCACTCTGTAGACCAGGCTGGCCTCAAACTCAGAAATCTGCCTGCCTCTGCCTCCCAAGTGCTGGGATTAAAGGCGTGAGCCACCACCGCCCGGCTCTCTTAAAGAAATTTAAGAATTGAGATTCAAAGATTAGGGTCAGCTAGGTGGCTTGAACTGAGGTTATACAAAAAAATCACTGAGCCCTGGAAGCAACTGTGTTTGACTCGGGTACTTTTCAGTTCCTTGGTGGGGAACTCCTGGGTACAGTTGAGGTCAGGGACTTACCAAGCTGGTAGATGAGAAAAGAGAGAAAGTAGGGTCCCTCTATGTCTCAGCAGATAGTGTTAGCATGCCTTCTAGGCTTCGCCCCACAGTTCCCTGGCAACAGCCAGGTATACCTGACTCACTCACTATAAAAGGGGCTGTTTGCCCCCTTCTTACCCTCTTTCACCCCCTTACTCTCTTACCTTCTCTGTCCCTTCTCTCCCCATTCCCCTCCCCCGTCTCTCCACTTGTTCCTGGATGGTTTCTACTCTTTCTCTCTCCCCTAGTCTCTCTTCTCCCTCTCTCTCCCTTTCTCTGCCTCTCTTCCCTCAACTCTCCTCCCCATCCCCCTAAATCAACTCTATTCTATACTATCTATACTATGGCTGGTACCTCAAGGGAAAGGGATGCCTCCACATGGGCCCACAGAGGCCCTCCCTTCCACATCACCATACTGTGTTTCAACAAACACATCCTGGTTCTTTCTTTTATATAAAACACAACAGTGTGAAGGATAAACAAGAAGACAAAGTGTGCCACATGGGGAGCTAATTTTGAGAAGATTGTATGGACTGGACCTAGGATCAAGACAAAGAGCATCTCTGAGAAACAGCTTCACTTTCATTATTAGTTCATGTCCTGGGGACATGAAAATCCCCTTCTTAGGAACTCCAGCTGTATAAATATAGATTGACACTTATACCTTCTTATTAGATTTATTTTTTTAAGTTATGTGCCTGTGCATAGGTATGTACCCTGGTGTGCAGGTGCCTGTGGAGGACAGAGAGGGTGTTGGATCTCCTGGAGTTGGAATTACAGGTGGCTCTGAGCTGGCGGGCAATAGGGACAGGCTTTGGGGCAGACAGGTGACAAGAGCAGCCAGATGTCAGTTTGGTGCCCTCAGAACTGTGTGGAGGTTGGTTCTTTTCTCTTGAGAGAGGGAAGAGGTGGAAGAGGCAGGCGGATCATGCTAGTTCAAGAAGGTGCTGGGAGCCCAGATCCTCAGGGTAAGGAATCCTCGTCCCTGCCAGCCACATGGCCCCTCATCAGTTCTCATTTGAACTAGAAAGTATGGATTACCTACATCCTGGAGATGAGCCTGGAACTTGTCCCCGGAAGGTAGCTCCCATGGCACCAAAGGAAGCAGGGAGTCTGACCTCAGATAAGCCTGGATTCAGATTCTGCCCTTTCTGCTCATGGGTCAGCTGGCTTTGAGCACAGGGAAGCTGCCATGCCAGCCTGTGTTCATTGCTCGCCCACTGTGTATCAGCTGTGGGACCGATGATTGACATGGTAAAGGCCTTCCAAGGCTTAACCCTGTATTTTGTTTAACATCCACTCAATTTGATGATCTTAGGAGGGAAGGCATCCTCATCCCACCAGTGAGAGGAAACTGGCACACACAGAAATGAAGCTACTTACCTAAGGCAGATAGCAAAGACAGGATTCAACCAGACAGGCTGTGCCTCTGGACCCTAACCTGGTCTCCCACAAAGCCCTCACCTAAACAAAACCCTTCTTTTCTTACAGAACTTACATGGTAGTAGGAGAGAGAGCGAAGGGTAGATGATCGACAAATAAGAAAGCAGCATGATATAGACATGGTGGCACGTGCCTTTATCCCTGCAGAGGCAGGCAGAGCTCTGGTGAGGTGGAGCTCAGCCTGCTAAATATACTGAGTTTCAGGACATCCAGGGCTTCATAGTAAGACTCTTTCTCAAAAAGAAAGATAGAAAATGGAGGAAGGAAAGAGGAAGGGAGGAAGCAGTATCCTGGACAGCTCTCAGAGTTGTAGTGCATTAGAGTTCTGGGCTAGCACAGAGAGCATCTCAGAACCCTGGTGTGGTGGTCCATGTCTGCAGTCACATTCAGAAGGTGGAAAGATGTAGGTCAGGAGTCTGAGGTTACCCATGGCTACACATTAAGTCTGAGTCTGTATAAAACCCTATCTCGAGGTAAATAAACAGATAAGAAAGGGAGCCCGCTCTCAAGCCTGATGCCCCGAGTTCAGTCCTTGGAACGCACGTGGGAAGGAGAGTCAACTCCAGAAAGAACACATGTGGGAAAGAGAGCCAACTCCTGAAAACTGTCCTCTGCCCTCTTGAGTTCAGTGTCCTGCCAGTGTACACGTGCGAGCACACACACATACATTCATGCACACTGCAAATTTCTAAAAGTGAACATTTTAAAAAGGGGATGGATAGATATCTCAGTGGCTAAAGAACATCTGTTCTTACAGATGACTCTGGTTCAATTCCTGGCACCTACATGGTGGCTCACCGTCATCTGTGGCTCTAGTTTCAGGGGATCTGATACCCTTTTCTGGCCTCCAAGAGCACCCAGTATTCATTCACAAAAACCAAGCAGAATAAAGATGATTATGGATGGGGCGAATGGGGAGTGAGGGGCTGGAGAGGCAGCGGGCGACTAGTTTTGAACAGAGTGGTCAGGATAAGCCTAGTGGTAACGTTTGAAACTTTTAGGCTAAACTTAAAAAGAAAAAAAAAAAACCAACCCAAAATCAAATAAACCAAAACTGAGGGATGCAGACCAGAAGAAAATTTAGAGGACTCAGCATGGAGCCTGAACAACTGCTGGAGTCATTTAGCATCTGGTCTAGGAAAAGGGGACCAGATGCTAGGCGCCAGGTTGGGCAGTGAAGGTGTCAAGAAGAAGACCCTGAAAGAGCCCAGTGAGAAGATAAGGCTTTCAAGCAGAAGCAGAAAGAGATGCTGTTGCCAAGGCAATGAGAAGGGACCCTGGCTCACAGCTGGAATTAAGAAATCGGGCAAAACCAAACCAAAACAAAAAACTCCGCAAAACAACAACAACAACAACGAAACCCGACCTATTCTGTGTACCTGCGATAAGGGTGAACCTCTTCCATTCCTATTTAAACGTATTCTGGGTTATGACACGATTACTTCTAAAAACCAGAGGGACAATTGATTCAATAGCACATAGCTGGCTGATGGCGGAGATCTTATATGGCCTGGTGGCACAGGCCTTGCCTTTAATCTCAGCACCCGTGAGGTAGAGGGAGACGACTGCTCTGAAGAACCAAGAGAAAGGAGAAGTGAACAAGTGAACAAGGAGCCAGCCAGAGCACGGTGGGCAGAGCATCGAGCTAGGGGCGGGGCTGGATGAAGCCGGACTGGCTGCGAGCGTGTGTGCCGCACTCAGAAGCTGGTAGGCCTTGGGGGCGGGGCTAGGAAGGGAAGCGGATCGGGGGCGGGGCCTGGGAGTCAAGAGCAGAGCCCCGGGAGAACGCTCCCCAACTGTAGGTCTTGGAGGCAGGACAGAGTGGGGCCAAAGCGAGGTTGGGGCGTGACCAGGGAGTTAGGGGCGCGGCTGGGGTGTGGCCGGAGCGTGAGGGCTGGGGGCGTGGCCAGGGATTAGGTGAGGCAATGGGTCTTGGCCAGGGAGTTACTGCGAGTAGGGGGTGTGGCCAGGGAGGTAGACAAGCGGGCCAGGGGCGTGGCCGAAGAGAAAGGCCCGCGGCCGGGGGCGTGGCAGAGAAGTTAGGGGCGGGGCGGGGCAGAGAGTGAAGAGGCCTCGACTGGGACGCTGCGGGCAGTGAGACAGGGCCTGCGGGAAGCAGCTATACCAGCACGGTTAAGTGCAGCGTCCCCCGCGCTCTAGGCAGCCCCGGCGTCTCCTCCTCGCGCCCGCCATGCCCGAACAGCTCAGTGTCGCGGAGTTCCTGGCCGTCACCGCGGAGGACCTCAATTCCCCAGCCGGGGCAGCTGCCTTCGCCGCCAAGATGCCCCGGTGCCGCGGGGCGGCGCTGGCACGGGAGGAGGTGAGGGGCCGAGGCGGGAGGGGACCTCACGTCAACTTGGGGCCTGGCTTTGACCTTTGCAGGAATGCTTGGAGCTAGGATGGCTCTTCGCTGCGCTCCAGAAACGCGCCCCTCCTAGATCTGTGGGAACCGAGCTCATCTCAAACATCTGCGTCCCCACGGTGGAGCCGGGGAGAGAAGACCAGATGGACTTTGTGGGGGATCTCGGGGTCACCTCGAAACAGACTCCACATGTCGGGGCACATCTCCCAAATACTTTGGGCGACCTGCCCATTATATGTGTATTTGCTCAGCGGCTTACAGTTCTGTGTTTTCGCTTTTAGAGCCCCACAAATATGCAACCCCTCAGGTCACTCCCTTTCTGAGAAGCAGGCTCAGTCCTGACTTACCTCTCTCCCAGGCTGCAGGAGAGAGGAGGCCCCCTCCTCCTGGCCGCTGGTTCTGAGACTTGGCTCGCCTTGTGGTATGACTGTGAATGGGAAGGCGCCAGGAGCCGGGGTTCACCTTGGCTGTCGCGGGCAAGTTTATAGGCTCCTCTCCCCTCCCCTCTCCTCTTTGTGTTTCCAGTCAAAGTGTCCCAGGCTCTTTCTTTCGCCCTTGTATGCTGCCCCACCCCATTCCCAAGCTCACTGGAGTTCATTCCTCTTCTCTGAACTCGCTGAAGGTTTTCGTCCACTAGGAATATTCTGGAGCAGACAGCCTGTAGTCTGGGGCCAGAGGGGGGGATAATATGAGCCCAGCTCTCTTCTAGAGGATGCCCTGGATTGAAGTGGCATTTTGGACCTCAGTGGTCAGTCTGGTCCCCCTACCCTTCCTCGTAAATTGTACCTACTGTGTGGCAGATACAAAGCTACACAGAAATACTCTGAGCCGAGATCTTAGGAAATCTCCCTTCCTCTTTTCCCCTGCCTGGCTGGCTCTCTGTCTGGACTTTTTCCTCCTTGGTAAGGAAGGCAGAGAATTATACAAAGACTGTCAATTTTGAGTGATGTATAGCTTCAGAGCCACCATGTCTCAGGACCCTTCCGCATCTTTAGGGATTTTTTACCCATTATCCTCTTCTCCAGGTGGTCCATTAGAGCGTTGAATCAGAGCACAGGGGTCCGCTCTGGCTGTAAGTGCCTGTGCATTTGACTGACCTTACCTGGCTGTGTAAACTCAGATTTGCTTCAGGTCAGGCCAGACAAAATCCAGTTTCTTTTCTTCTTTTCTTTCCCTTCAGATTTGTGTGCTTGCAAGCTCTCACTTTTGCAACGGAAAAGCACAAGATCCCCAAGCTCATCTTTCCCTTCAACATTCCAGTGTCTCAAAATTTAAGAGTCTGACTTATGACTTATGACTTAGATTTTGCTGGAGTTTTCTGGTTGGTTTTGTGGTCATGTCTCTCTGTGATTGTGCTGTGATTACATGTAGTTTGATACTGGGATTTTTTTTTTTTTCCTCCCTCCAGTACTGAGTATGACTAACTCAACACCAGGATTGAAACTGCAGTTGCTTCCCAAATCAAGGCTCTTAGTTCTAACCAGTTTCCTGGAAATAACTAGGGACTCTGTCCCAGGACCTGAAGACCTTTCTTTGTAAACCTTACTGGGAAAGACCCTGGACAGGAACTAAGAATGTCCAGGCTGAAGGACCCCAGTAAAAAAGAACACAGCTAGAATTTCTCTCATTTAAGATGGAGAAGCCAGTACAGAGAGAAGGCAAGACACTGCCTGAGCTCCCAGAGGGAGAGAGTGGGGCAGTTGGCATTCCTTCATCATTGTCTTAGCCTCTGGTCCTGCTGCCTTTCTTGCAAACATCACCTTTCAGAACGTCTCCAGACCTCAATTATTTCATCTTGAAACGGAATCTCATGATTCCTCCCTGCTTAAAACCTCACTGAATTGCTAAATGCTGCCCGTTTTTCATTGTGACTTTCTGTGCAACATGAGGAAGTATTACAATAATTCCTGCATCAGACAACCCTGCCTGTCCTGGACCCCTCTATAGCCATCACCCCATTGACTTTCACAGGGAAAGTAAGGCAGCTGCCCCGTGGGGCACAGCAGGCCCGGCTAGCTGCTGTGCTCTGTGCTGTTCTCTGTGCTGTTTCTGTGCTGGGCACCAAGGGCATAATGATCCTGCTTTGAGAAGGCCAGTTGTCCTGAGTATCCAGTGAAAGACACAGTCAGTGCTGTCGGAGGCCAAAGGAACAGGCTAGGGAGAGAGCCAGTGAGGACCAGTGCACCATGGGAACTTCCTGGAGGAAGTTCTGTTTCCAGGTGGAAGACTAAGTGACCTTTAGTGGAGAGCACAAGTGAATGGATTTGGGAGCCGGTTGGAAGAAAGCATGTCAGGAAGCCAGGAGACCATCTTGACCCATGCTCTGTGACAGGCAGTCCTTGTGGACACGTGCATTCTTCCAGTGCTTATCTTCAGAGCTGATAGGTGGGGGAAGGGTCATGGCTGGGGGAATGTTTACCTAAAATCCATATCATGTCATACATTGCATAGCTGAAATTCTGATGGAGTCAAAATTACCGTTTCTTTGTTGTGTGTGTGTGTGTGTGTGTGTGTGTATTTTGAGACATGGTCTAGCCTAAGCGATCCTGAAATTCATGATACCCCCATCTCTCTGACTACTGAAAGCTAGGATTACAGGTGTGTACCACCACAACTGTACCCATAGGATTTCTTTTCTTTCTTTTTTCCTTTCTTTCCTTTTCTTTTTGACACAGGGTCTTGCTACGTAGTTCCAGGCTGGCCCCAAGTTCTGCCTCAGCTTCCTGTTATAATTGTGGATATGTACCACCTCCTCTGGCTAAGGATTTCATTCTCAAGTTTTAATATTTGTAAGATGGAGATATAGTACAGCTTAGCATCTTAGGTCTAGTCTTTTTTTTTTTTTTTTTTGGTTTTTCGAGACAGAGTTTCTCTGTATAGCCCTGGCTGTCCTGGAACTCACTCTGTAGACCAGGCTGGCCTCGAACTCAGAAATCCACCTGCCTCTGCCTCCCAAGTGCTGGGATTAAAGGCGTGCGCCACCACCGCCCGGCAGGTCTAGTCTTAAGTACCGTAAAAATTAGAGCAAAATGGCAGCGTACGCAGTATGAATGTCCTTATGGTTTGCCTCATGGTGTGTCTTTTTGTTTTAGTGTAAAGTATTATGTAGACTGGGCATGGTGGCTCTTGTCTTTAGTCCCAGCACTCCAGAGGGAGGCAGAGGCAGGAGGATCTCTATGAGTTTGAAGCCAGCCTGGTCGTCATAGCGAGTTCCAGGACAGGCAAGGCTACATAATAGAGACCCTGTCTCAAGAAAAAATAAAAATAAAAAAATAAATTAAAAAAAATTCCAGGATCCTGGAGACCAGGAGGATACAAACACTCCTGGCCAGTTTCTGTGGAAAGGAAGCTTGTTTTAGAGAAACAGAGATGCCTCTTGGAACTGGACCCCATGTGGCCCAGGAGTTCCGGCTTGGGAGGAGTCAGGAGCTCGGGAGCCGCCTCATCCACCTTGTCTTACACTCTAATCTGATTGTTGCTTCTGCTCCTTTCTCATTGGTTAGGCCTCAGAGTGCAGCTTCGGTCCCCATGGTTATGTGACCTCACTTGTCCCGTGTCTAAAGGTAACCCAGCCAGTCTCCCATGTCCCACTTCCAAGTTCCTGACAGCCCAGCCCAGCTTCTGGACTGATTACAGAAGCTGGGTCTCCACCCCCGGTTTCATCAACAGAGGTCACAGAGGTATAGACTCAGGCATGGTAAACATGACCATGGATTTAACCCTGGGGGAGGAGATCACTTCTTAGAGAAGGAAGACAGGGTCCAGAGATCAAACCCTCCCCACCCCCATCCCCCACCCCCTGCCGTGAGTGACCACAGAGCCTCTCCATTTCTCGTGGTCTGGCCTGTGGAGAGGCTTGTGAGGCCCTCTGCCAGTGTCTCCCTCTTTAGAACACTTGCATGTTATCCCAGCTGATGCTGAGCCTATTAGAGAGCTAGACAGAGTTTAAAGCCGGAACAGTGTGCTAAGGGGTGCTTAGCATCTTGGAGGGTCCGGACACAAGTTAGGCATTTGGACTTTTTGCTAGACATTGGGGATCAAAAACCTAGTTGCATTGTCCAAGGACTGGATGAGACAGCCTTACCAAGGGTCTCATAATGGCACTGTGGTTCCAAGCAGTAGGTGCTTGGAACACTCACTCATCTCTCAGCAAGAGACAGGCAGTTCCTGCCCTAGGGAGAAGTCAGCCCAAGGAACAGAGGAGCATAGTCAACGGCGATTGCCTATGGTAGCAGGTGGCAGGAAGTTCATCCCCGTGTCCGGGCCTTCCTTAAGGCTGGGCCCTGGGTCATCTCTCTTCCTGCCGCTGCCCCTCTCTCCAGGCTGTCGAGCCCATGGCTTCAGTCACCTCCTGCCTCTCAAGTGACTCACCCAACCCAAACTCCCATGTCCAGCGGTTTGCAGCAGGTTTGCTTAGACCACATGTGACTCTTCACGCTGGGCGCCTGGCTCCATCGCACAAGCTGGGAGACTCACGCACTTGTCCTCACCGAGGGCCATGAGTCTTACCTGCTGTGTATGTGCCATCTGCCCACCTCTCCTTAACTGTTCCCCGGTCCACACCTATCAGCTCTTCAGCTGGCCTGGCTGCTCAGCGTTTTTACCGTATTTCCTACTGGTCCCACAGATAAAATTTATATTTATTACCAGGTAGTGGTGGTACATGCCTCTAATCTCAGCACTCGAGAGGCAGAAGCAGGTGGATTTCTGTGAGTTCAAGGCCAGGCTGGTATACAGAGCAAGTTCTGGGATAGCTGAGTCTACACAGAGAAAACCCTGTCTCAAACAAACAAACAAACAAACAAAAACCCAATTATATACATATTTGTATAACTATTTCATTAACATCTGGTTTCTTTTTTTTTGTTTTTGTTTCTCGAGACAGGGTTTCTCTCTGTAGCCTTGGGTGTCCTGGAACTCACTCTGTAGACCAGGCTGGCCTTGAACTCAGAAATCCA